CACCAGCTGCACGTGCGGCGGGCGGGTGTTGTTGACCTGGAAGCGCGCGGTGAGCGTGCGCTGCGCGAAGGGGTGCGGGTGGTAGCTCAGGAAGGCGTTGTCGTTGCTCAGGAGCGCGTAGGGGATGGTGGAGCTGGTGTTGGCCAGTAGCAGGTTCTGATGCTGGGCGATGACCTGCGGATGTCCAGGGCGGCTGGGACCGCGAGGCACGGCCACAGCTCGCCTGTCCTGTCCCAGGAGGAAGGTGGCTGGGGGGCGCGCAGGGCGTTGGGCCGGCCCACCTTCACCACCATGGCCGCATAGGTCACGTCAGCCCTCCACGGCTGGGGCAGGGACCAGCCCACCAGCGGGTCCGCCTCGTCGTTGTAAATGGGGGTGTCCGCAAACTTGGGGAAGAGCTGCCGGATCTGCTGCGCGACGGCCTTCTCCTGCTCCAGGATGGAGATGGAGCTGCGCGCACCCTGCGGGTGTGGCCGCCTCAGTACCACCAGGGTCAACGCCTCCCCGGGCACCGCCGCTGAGGGCGCAGAACCCCGGGACGGGCGGAGGAGTAGGGCGCACCTTCCTGTGGAGGGAGATGTAGTCCAGCCGCACGCCCACCTCCCCGGTGAAGAAGTTGGTACCGTCGTGGCAGTGGCGCAGGAGGCCCCAGCTCAGCGGGGATCGCGGTGGGGTGTGGAAGGAGTCGCCAGGGCCTCCCAGCCGCAGGGCCGGGCTGGCCGCACGCAGACCCTCCGAGCAGGCATCGTAGTAGTTCAGGAAGCCTGGATCGGGGGAGCGCTGCGTCTACACCTGCCCTGGGGACCAGTGGCTTAGCCTCTGCTCCTGCCTTCCTCTGCCCGCTTTCAGTCGGGCAAGATCCCAGGAAGTGGTGCACACCTTGCATGGTCATGGAGACGTTGTCAAAGTCGTGGTGGTCCGGCTCGTTCCACGTCTCGAAGTTCCATTTGGAAACATGCGCCAGTCCGTACCTACCTGCAGAGGAGCCCTGCTGTCCCCCCAGCACAGGTGAATCTCGCCTCAGTGACTCCCACGGAGGGAGGGCGCAAAGTGATGAAGGGCATCTGGCTTAAGATGAACCCCACCTCCACACAGGCCAACCTCCTGCCCCACATCAGGAAGCCCTGGCTCAAAGGGATCCAAGACCTGGGCGGTGGCCTAGGTGACAGGGGTGCAGCCTGCCCAGGAGTACCCCCGAGCCTGGGGCCTAAGGGCCTGCACCGATCAAGGTGCAGGTATCCCTTGTCCCCGCCCCATCCCCCCCTACCCCGCTCCCACCAGGGGCCTGTGCTCGCCCACCGATGTATCTCCTGGCCAGGCTGGAGACCAAGTCCTTCCACTCAAACACCTGCTGCTTGTCCTCAAAGTTGGTGAAGTGGCCCGAGGCGCTGCCCATCAGCTCAAACCCTGGAACACAGGAGGGCTGCCCCACTGCCCACCACACACGACACCCATGCTCTGCCAGGTCGTGCTCCGGCACCAAGGCCAGCCCTGAATGGACATCCAAGGACCCAGAGAGGCTGGGTGAGGGAGAGGGTAGGCAGGGCAAGAGGGTGCAGGAGGGCTGGGAGGGCAGAGCCCACAGCTCACCTGGGAGGAGCTGGTTCTCCCTGAGAAGGTCCAGGTACCCATCCAGGTGGGTGAAGTTGTAGCTTGGGCCCCGTCCAGTGGACCCCCTGCAGAAGGACGGTCATCGTCAGGAAGCAGGGTGCCCACACAGCTCCATGCTCCAGGCTGGAACCGTGGCCACAACACAGCATGTGAGACCCTGCAAGGTGCCACCCGGGACTCAGATCCCGGCTTCCCGACGGGCCCTTCCCCTTGGAAAATCATCAACCCTATGAAAGCCGAGTGTGAACTAGAGTATCTGTACATGGAGACCCCCCAACCTGACACCATCAAGAGATGGAAGACTTGGGGTGGGGGCTCGTAATAGCCCTGAGGCTCAGTGGGACGAGGCAGGCAGGTCCTGAGGGGCAGGGGCCAGGGGTCAGGAGCTAGGCAGGACCTGGTGGGCAACCCACCCTCGTTCTCTGTACCTCCTGGAGGCCCAGGAGTGCCCCATTTCCCCTCCCACACCCCAAGAGGCAACATGGGTGGGCAGGAAAGGGAGAAGGCGGCTGCCCTGCCACTGCACTTGCAGACGGGGCTGAATTTCCACAGGGCCTGTGTTCCAAGGGGACAGGCATCATCTGGGAATGGGAATCTTTGGTGAAGGGGATATGATAGGGAGTGAGGAGCCTGATGGCCAGCGAGGGACCTCTCTGAGGAGACATCTAAGGCTACTACACAATGGGACCGGCCAGCAGGAAGACGTCCAGGCAGCAGATGGCATCGCCAGTGCAAAGGCTCTGGGACAGGAATGTGCACATGATAATCAGGGAGTAGGGAGGCAGCTGGTGGGCCTGGGACAGAATCAGGGTGGCTATCACAGGAGATGAGGCTCCACGGCGTCTGTAAGTGACTGCTTTGAGCATGGGACCCTGACCAGGAGCAAAACAGGGATGCCTTTCAGCGTTCTGAGTGAGCAGTGCCAGGGCATTTTTCAAGGATCCCTCTGGCAGCCCACTGGAGTCAGGGTGGGAGCTGAAGACTGGCTGGGGACCATGGTGGTGGCCCAGAGAGGTATGGTGCCCAGACTGGGTGGTGGCTGTGCAGGTTGTGAGCAGAGGCTGGAGCAGATGGACTGATGAGGTTTGAGGTGAGCTGGTGCGGGGGTAGGGGAAGTGGTCCAGGGCAACTGTGGATTTCAGCTTGAGCAGCTGGGCGGGTGGATGAGCTTGCAGTGAGACTGGTCTCGGTTTTGGCCATGTGGAGTTGAACATCTGAGGGTGAACTGGGTGAGGAGGCTGGTGTGCAGGGGTCTGGGGCTGTGGGTGATGCTTCTGGCCTGAGGGAAGGGGGATGGGGTGAATGGAATAGCAGCCAGCCTTGAGCCTGGAGAAGCAGAGACCAGGCTGGCAAGGCTGGCATTCCTGCGGATGCCATGCAGAAGGTGAGCACCTCCTATGACAGCTGGGTTTGTGCCCCATCTGCAGTGGTGGGGGACGGGGTTGCCACCATGGATTGGAATCTGGACCTAGAGAGGTCCCTGTCAATCTCCCCATGCCACAGCACCCCCAGCTCCACAGCAAAGGTCTGGACACCTCGCCTCCCTTCTGGTCCTCCCACGGTGTAGAAGATCAACGCAGAGCCTCAGCCGGAGTCTACAGCCTTCAGGTGTGGGCTCCTGCTCTGCCCCGCCTCTGCTGGTCCCCACCTGCTCCTGTACCCAGGGCTGGGCGCCCAGCAGGAGCAGCAGGAGTCCCTGGTGTCCACCCCACCCAGCCCCTACCACCTCCCGTCCCCTCTATCCAAAGAACACAGTGGTAGCAAAGAAGTAACTTGAGAAGCACTTGGATACAAATTAAATGCCCAAAAGGCGCATTCCAAAGTCCCACGGAGTTGGAGTAGCAGGACACGGTGACCTGGAGGAAAGTGAAGGCCCAGCTGGGCTTCAGGTTTTCTCTGCAGAACCCCGAGGCGATAGCCCGGCGGCCCCTGACACTGGGGCTAGCGGGGGGAGCCCCAGCATCAGAGATGTCCCTGGCCTGACACCCAAGGTGCCCGAGTGTCATCTGGCAGGGCCAGCTTCGCAGCGAGAGGAGCCCGGTACAGGGATCCCCGCCCCCAGGCCCAGGAACCCCGGGGTCGGTCTACAGACCCCAGGCCCCACCCTCCGCCTGGCCTCCATTGGGAAGAGCTGGGCGGGCGAGATGGAGCGCGCAGCC